AGAGGATAACATAGAAATCATATCATTTTCAAAAGGAGAACCTGAAATATACACCCAGCAGGAAAATGTTTGAAATCACTGGCTCCACCTGTGTTAGGTGAAATGAAAGCCCCCAGTGCCCTGAGAAGTTCCAGCTGGCTAACATAAGTTTATGTGTTGCAGAAATCAAAGGGGGATAACTAGGAAAGTGTGAGACATCATGGATATCAAGTCCAGATTTAGCTGTCTGGGAATTTTGCAGAATAGAATAGCTCTGGTGATCGTGAGTGTACATCGGAGCACAATTTGTAGGGTTAGGGTTGTTCTTGTCTTTCAAAAATGACATTATGTGTTGCTAGTAATTCAGAATTAACGTTCTCGTTTAAAAGTGTTCTTCAAAGTATGGATCAGCAGCAGCTAAAGTGATTACATAATTCCATTCATCAATGACTTCCAGACACAAATGCCAGCCTTTCGTATGGAGTAAACATAATGTGACCAGAGAGTATCACATGGGGGTCTGTGGACATTTCTTTGAAATCAGAAGTCACTGGGTCAGATGTTTCAGCGGTTTGCTGTCAGCGAATGGAGTCCGGGCAACTGTGGGTGGAGCGGGTAAGAAAAGTTGAAGGAGGGGGGGCTGGAAAAACTATAGGTGATCTTATTTTGAGAAACAAACAAGAGGGCAAATGTTACACCACGTGAGGCATGTGGCCCTGGCAGTTCACATGCAAGCTGGCAGATGTGAGAAGAGACTAGAGAGACGGAGAAACTGATCAGCCGGGGTTTCACAACAGAGAATCTGAGCGAGTGATGAAACTCACCCAGGAGGAGCAGCAACAGGTGTATGTTTGTGTAACCGTGTGCATATGTGACTGTTTGTCTGTGTGTGTGTGTTGGTGATTAAGGTGTTTGGAGGGTCGTGGAGGACTCACCAGCTGTCGTGTCTGGTCATAACATCACAACAACAACAGAGATGATGCAGGGTAGGGGGGAGAGGAAAAAACGTCATTCAATAATTGACCTTTCAAAACTGCTTCTAATTTGATGTCTCATGTGTCCATGTGTCTCACAAATATTGACATACATATGGGAGATTTATATGTTTGGAAATGTTTTCACAGCTTGAATTATTTACACATATGCATATACTGAGTTTATACATGTCAGTTTAAATAAGACTAACAGCCTGGCTCCTTACGGCTGTAGGAACAGTCATAATATCAGCTATATGCTAATGTCAGTGAGCTGACATCGACAACAGGCTGATATTCAGCAGGTACAATGACAGGTGTAGGTTTCGAGGGTAGCGAATTTCCTGGAAGGAGACCCTCAGACCCGCACTGAATGATGAATGATGGTATAGTCCAACCATATTTACCATCAGAGTTGAAGAACAGTTGAGCATGATGGGTCGTCAGGGAAATCATTAGGATGCATCATCCTGGAAGCATGAATACAAAATTTAGAGGCCATCTAACCAATTGAGAGATTTTAAATTGAAACTCATCTCCTGCTGGTGGTACAAATGTATAAAGTAATGAGTCATCAGAGTCTTAAGAACTGAGCCTTTGTGGGACCATGAAGGTCTGCACAAAATTTCTTTGCAATGCATCCAATAGTTTTTCAGATACGTCAGTCTGGATGTAGGTGGTGGGATAAAACCCCAGCGTTCGTCACTAGAAGCTCTAACAAATGACGACTTCTTTTCCTGTTAGTGTAGAAGACGTGTAAACTGCTTTGCCTCGGTCTAAGACCAAACAGAGTTTAAACATTGTTAGTCATTCACAGAATAAACTAAACCCAAACTCTTCAGAGTCTTAGGTCACAGCTTCCTCCTCGATCAGTCATTTGCCAACTCACTGAGCACTTGCTGGGACTTTCCCTGTCATCCTGTAGTTTGGCCTAGTCTACAAATAGAATTAATTAGACTTCAGGGACTCACAGCATCATAAACATGACTGTGTAACCCCTCGAGTTCACACACTAATACGTTTTCAGTCTTTGAGATCCACTTTTTACACACACCACTGCACTCTGTGTGTTTACCCACATGGGGAACTGATTCAAGTTTCATCATGGATCACTTCTGCACCGGCGGCAATTCCACGTCACGATCACTTCGCCTCGTCAGAATACAATCTGTCCAATGTGCCTTCATATATTCTCATGTGATGTCTTGTTGACAGATTTTAACAGGCAGTGTGTCCAGAGCTCTTTGACCTTTTGCACGTATCAGGGTGTTGCATTAAAGCCTTCGACATGAAGTCATGGGCACACCTGTCTCAAAAGCTTCAGCGGTGAAGCTGTGATGAGCATTGCAGTAATGTTTGGGTGAATTTGCTGATTAATCAGAGCCTGAAATGAAACTTTTTGATGAATCAAAGGAAATAAATGAACTGTCTTGCACTGCAGATTAGATTGTTACCATCAGTCATGAGTCTGCAGGACAAAAACCCACATCAGCCACATCTGCACAACAGGTCACGCTACATAGGACCTGATGTGTCCCGGTGCAAACACCAGATGAGCTGAAACACAGGTCTGCATATTCTCGGAAGACATTTGTTTTTGCACCATGCTCTGCTGCTGACATGTTTTGCTGATTGTGTAGACTGTTGTGAATTATGAGGACCAAGAAAATCTCCTCTCGCTCTTTCTTGCTCCTCTCACTGCCTTAACGTAGACAGACATGTAAACATTCACCCACATGGGTTAAAATACACACAAACACACGTGCACATCCACTGTTACAACGTTTTACTGAGAATGAACACACAAAGAAAGTGTTTGCTGTGCAGTAGAATTTTTAGAATCAGCAGCTGATCATGCATGGCTTCAAGTGAGACATTAAAAGCACTTTTGTTGTCATTTTTATTAAATGCTGATGGCAAATCTAATAAATAAGCCCCTTTCTGGCAAATAGGCATTCATTAAATGTCCTATCCATTTCCTATGAAAGCACAGGGTTAAATGACATGAGAAAGTCCATTAAAGCTATAAACAAACAGATACAAACTTTAGATTTGTTTCCCAAAAGCCTCTCAGATGAGTGTGTAAACATGTCAAGTGTTTAATTAAGGTGATAGCATCTGACCCAGTGGCCTGGACAGGATTAGTTACACGTTATCTTCCGATGCGCGGGCCAAAATCAACAAAATCCCCTCATCCAGTCTTCATGGATCAATTGGTGATGTTTTGGGAAAATTGAAATACAGTGGTAAACCCCTGGCTGTACGCGCATACACGCATACCCCTACACAATCCACACTGCAACCTAATACTCTGAAGGACAACTCAATCTATTTATAATACCAGGAGTGACTAAGAATCAGGGGACTTTGCAGCCATATTGCTGGGAGGCCTGAATGTTTTTTGTTCCATTTATATTTACAGAGACATAAAGCCAGCCCTGATAAGCAAAGTAATTATTTTTTCCTCAACATCAGCGCATTAAAAACTGTACTCTATTGTTTTAGCTCAGAGGTTTGATCCTGTGTGTGATCCTGAATAGGGTTTGCAGCAAAGTTAGAGGAAGTCTGCACTTTTCTATTATATCACATACTTGCACAGGGACGTGTATAAGAATGATCGTTTCTCACAGCCAGCGGTGAATGCTCAGATCATTTGTTTAGCTAGAAGTAGCAGCATCACAATGTGCAAATACTAATCAGCCACAACTCAGAGCACCCGTGTGGACATGCAGGGACCTTAATCTGTAATAATGCATCTGGTTTCTTGTTGGCAAACAAATGTGTACAGACAGAAAAAAGAAGTAATAGTTGCAAAACAACTACACATGCAAACTCTCAGCCACATTTCTCTGGCACGACTCATGCTAGAATATTCTAACCAGCATCAAATTAAAGCTTAAAGTCTCAGGTATAAATAAATACATGCAGTTTATTGTGAATAAATGTTTTGATAAAATAAGGCTATTCATGATTTAAATCCCATTGTGTATTTTTGCCAACCAGCCCCATGAATGGTGCATGTGTTATGGGATTGGCTGGCATAGTGTTAAAATACAAATGGCTGCACCACTTTTAAGGTTCAGAAATGTTTCTAAATAACGAAGGTTCTTTTAAAAACAGTCACAATATTTAAAAGAAAAAATTGAAATTGAAATCGAAATAAAAGTTATGAGGAACATGTGACCACAATCATCAGGTGGCTATACTAGTACACAGTATACATCAGAAGCGAGTTTCTGGATGCCCAACACCAACGCATGCGTTCAAGGCCGGTTAGCTCAGTTGGTTAGAGCGTGGTGCTAATAACGCCAAGGTCGCGGGTTCGATCCCCGTACGGGCCAACGGTGCTTTTGGGTTAATAACGGCTCATCTTGAGCTATTGATGAAACAGTCAGCTGTGCAAGCTGCCACTGCTGGACATCTGAGCAAGTCCTTTCACCCCCACCTGCTGAGGTTGCACATGGCACCAGCACACATTTGAAGTTACAGTGAAAATCTGTCAACACTAACAAAACCCTTGATTTGGTATATGCAACTTCATTTTTACTAAAAATCTTATTATCAAAATTTAGAACAAACTTCAACACAAAATGTCTTTGTTTATGTCTTGCATATGTTTAATTAGAAGAGACTCTGGTGCTAAATGTGTCCCTGTGTCTGAACATCGATAGAGAGATAAACAGCTGCATTAAAGACAAAGTAGCAAATATTCTTTATTCATTTATTTTATTGGTATTTTGGTTTTAAAATATGGTGATAATTGGTCGGTCCCTACTTTTGTTATTAAAACACTC